AAGGTCAAGACAGAATCCTGCGCCGTGGGTCTCAGCCGGGAAAGCCACCTGCAGAACAGAAGCGGGAAATCATTTGCTTCGCTGTTTTGAAACTTTCAGACTCGCAGCTTCTCCAGGGTGTTACAGGAACGCCCTCCCCGCCCTGGGGGCCATCACTGCGCCTTCAACCCCAGCCCTTTGAGGGGTGCAGTGGCTTCCACTGTCTGCGGGCTGGGGTCGTGGGTTCTCCCCCGTCTTCCCGTAGGACGTTTATCTCCGCTCCCGTGTCTCCAGGCGGCCGGTGCCAGGGAGGTGTGCCCACGCTGCTCCACAGCCGGGGACGGGGCCCCGCCGTCACATCACAGGGCTGCAGGGTGTCTCCAGCCTGGTCCTGGGCCTTCCCCAGAGGGCGGCGGGCGGGGCAGGGGGGGAGCTGGGCCTCACGTACGGGAACCCTCCGTGGATGCACCCAGCTGCAGTGGGCGTGGTGTGGGGGTCGTCACCTAGGAGGTACGGCCTCACCTGCACCTGAGGACAGAGTGCAGAACACGCAGCCACGCCCTCGGGTGGTGTCCAGGGGACAGCTCCTGGGCCAGAGGAGGCGCCCCGAGGGTGGAGGCGGGGAGAGAAGCCTCAGGCACTCAGCGCAGCCGCCCCCAGACTCCGGCCCAGCCGCCCCCGGTGCACACAGCAGACCCCCTGGAGGCCGTGTTAAGACCCTCTGACTCAGCAGGTCAGGTCTGCAGCGGCCGCGTTGCTGGGGCCCCAGTGACGCTGCTGCTGGTCCTGGGACCCCGCTGTGAGAACCACTCGCTCAGAAGGAAGGAGGCTACTTTTCTCTTTTTTTGTTAGCGTTCGGCACGTTCAGGGGAACAAACGGCTGGAGCTTGGAGTGAAAGCCGCTCGCGGTGTCTGGGTCTGGCGCCGGAGCCGAGAAGGAAGCAGCCGTTTGACCGCATGTGTGTGCGCACGTGCCGTCCCGGGAGGGCGCTTTCTTTCCAGGATGTTCGAGCTGAGCCCAGCTGAGCCCTGGGAGACGCCGTTCCAGCGCTGAGCCCAGTCAGCTCTGCCCCTGGGGCCACATCGTGCCTGGCGAGTGAGGTCCGTGTGACGGAGGGAGGTGACAGCCTGTGGCTGCAGTGGACCCGGGCTGGGGACAGGGGGTGGGGCAGCACGGAGCTGATTATAAATCTTTTAAATTAGGTTCAGATGGGAAATCTCTAAAAGTCGTGCGTGCAGTTTTCTCCTGAGTGACGGAGTGGTTGCTTGTTAAAGGGGGAAACTGCACTTCCCGAGAGGAAGGTGGGGGCCGGGCGCCTGCTGGGTTTGCACCAGGTGCGGTGGCCTGTGCGGCTGGATCTCGGCTGGGCCTCTGGGCTTCCAGCCTCTTGTCTGAAGGCCCGGGTGAGGAGGCTGGGCTTGAACCTCATCCTAAAAATAGTGCTCTGCATAGGCCCTGGATAGGCATGCTGGTTGTGGATGGGTGGACGGACTGATGGGTGGGGGAGGGAGGGACGAGTGGATGGATGGGTGGTGAGTAGCCGGGGGGCGCATGGGAGTGTGGGTGAAGGAGTGGATGGGGGATGGCCAGGTGGGTGGGGAAGGACGTCTCCTCAGGTGGGCTGATCGAACACTCAGCCAAGGCGTCTCCTGAAGAAACAGTGTCACCAGAGGCTGAGGGCCATGCTCAGAAAGTCCTTCCTGCCTGAAGTCACATCAGAGCGCCCGGGGACACCCTGCGGAGCCTTAATTTAGACGCCGAGTACACCTGCACACACGGTGATGCCGCCCGGAGCAAGGGATGATTTGTGTCCCTGACAGCCTGTGCTGTGTCACCTGCAAATCCCACGAGTGGAGGGTGACATTCCGGCCGTTCTGCCGCAGTGGCTGGGAAGGCGCCCAGCCTGTCAGACCCGCAGGTCCCAGGGCCTCCGTGCGGCATTTTCTCCGGAGCGTGTTCTCCAGACAGCAAGGAGGGCCCCCCAGGAAGACCCCCTCCACGGTCCACGCCTTCACCCTCACAGCAGCACGCTCTGAGTTTGCCCAGAGGCGGGAGTCTTCCACCACCACGGCCTGGGATACGGTGGGGCCCGTGTGAGGTGGCTGCCCAAGCCCCCAGCCGGTGCCAGCCTTCGGGTGCCGCCAGGCCGGCGGGTCAGGGCCCGGCTGCCACTGAGAAGAGCGTGTTCCTCGGGGCAGGGGCTCAGGGGTGGACACACCGGGCCATGCGGGCATTCGTGGCCGGAGGCCAGGGTGGAGGAGGCCAGGCCACGGGCTGTCCTAGGCTGCGTGGTTTGCACACTTAGGAGCCCCTCAGGCCTGCTGTTTGCTGCCCCCGGGCATCGGCTGGCCCAGGAGGACAGCCCCTCACCCTCAGGACAGTGAGGTCCAGGAGTCACGTTGTCAGATACGGAGAATTACCAGACATGGTTAATACGCCCGTCACGGCCACGTGCGTCTGAGCACTCGCGAGTCAAGCCCGCGGGGGCAGCCCTCCTTCCTGAGCGGTCCTGGGGCGGGTGTGGCCCCAGCCCGGCGCGTCCCCGCACTTCGGGGCTGCTGGGCTGGCCTGGGTCGGGGCCAGCCTCTGCTTAAAGGGGCAGGCTGTGCCCAAGCCGTGGGTGGGTGCTTGGCCAATGCAGTGGCCGCCCCCTCGCCGCCCCCCCACGATCTCCGCAAGGTGTTTCTCAGACGTTACGACACAGATTCTGATAGAGGAGGGCCAGGGGCTTGTCCGCACTGCTCACAGGCCCAGGCCACCCTGCGGATCCGGGAGCCACCGTGGGAGAGCAGACGGCCCCTCGGTGTCGGCCCACCACCACTGCATCCAGAGCGAGGTGGCCGGGTGCTTTGGCGTCACAGAGACGCCCTGGAGAGCTGCTGTGGAGTGCCACCCAAGTCAGCGGGCATGAGCAGGGCTGTCCTGGGGGGCGGGGACGCCCCGGTCACTGGCACTAACGAGGCTCTTTGGCAGCCGTGTCACCTCCCTTAGAGCTTGTGGATTAGGAACCGTTTCCTTGCCCGTGAAGCCGGGGGCCAACCACGCCCTCTCCGATCTCCGTGGCCGTGTCCTCATGGTGGCAGCCGGGGGCACACGGAGCTGAGTCGACGATCTCCACCCTCGGGAGGGCCGTCCACGGGCTCTGGTGCAGGGAAGAGGCGTGATGGCCGGGCTCCGGGGTGGGGGCTGTGCGCCAGAGCACTGACCCGGGGGACGCTGCCCTTCCCCCTGCTGTCGGGGTGATTGCGGAGCGAGTGGGGATTTCTTCCCTCTACCCCGAAGTCCTGAGCCCACAGTGCTGCACGTGGGCAGCTCAGGGAAGGCTTCAGGCCCCCTGAACCTCAGGCACCGTCGCCCTCGCCCCCAGCCCTGAACTCCCTGCGGGCCCAGCGCGGGGCCGAGCAAGAACGGCCCCAGTTCCCCCCGTCTGGAAACGCTCTCGCCTTCCTGAGTGGAGGAGACTCTCTTCGTAACAGAGACCGTGGCTGATTTTACCCAAGAAAGATGGATGTCCGAAGGGGCCCCGAGCCCGGCACAGAGCCCCACACGCCACAGTCTGTCGAGCCGCCCTCGTGTAGCTAAGGCCTGAAGCCGCTGAGCCGGACCGAGTGGGGCCTTTCCCACCATCCTGTCCCATGACCGCGGTGTCCACATTTGAAGCGCGGGGCTGTAGCTAAGGTATCGGCGGCCCAGATCTAGAACATGCCCGTCACCACAGGAAGTTCTTCTAGGCAGGTCCGGCCGCTGCTAACAGATTCTGAAACATGAATTCGTCCATCCATTGGACAACCTGTGCTGAGTGCTGACCGTGCTTGCTTTGTCCTGAGAGCAGCGGGTGGGCCGAGGTCCTGGAGTGCACGCCGCAGGGGGACAGACAGACCAGGGAGCATGGGGCCCACAACGGGGCGGCATCTGAGCAGAGGCTTGCGGGCAGGTGCAAAGGACCTGGGGCCGTGGGGAAAGTGGAGGGAGGAAGAGGTGGGGGCGGGGAGCCCCGGGAGCAGCTGGGGGCAGCTGAGGCACGGAGGCCCCACAGGACTCCCAGTGATGGCGGCTGCAGAAGGTGCCGGTGCGGGGCTGTCCCTGCAGGTCTGCCAGGCTCCCACCGTGGTGCTTCGTGTTTGTCTTCTGGAAGGTTCCTGGCTCAGCAGGTGTCCAGCTGCAACCCACCTCCCCGCTGCCCTGCATCCTCCTGGGACCAGGCCCTGGGGACAGCGGCCCCTCTTACCCGGGGCAGGGCCCACATTGTCATCGTGAAGGAGCTGGCGCTGTCCCCTGGGCTCTGTGCAGGGGTGCAGAGGGCGGGTCCCAAGCAGGCTAGGAGCCTAGCAGGGGGAGACTTGGCCGCGTGCTGGGAATCTGTGAGGAACCTACAGCCTCCCCCGCCTGCCCAGACGTGACCTGTGGCAGCCGTGCGAGGTGTCAGGACCCTCAGCTGTGCAATGTCCCCCTTCCCCTGCTTTCTGAAGGCAGAGCTGGGCAGGGAAGGGTCAGGGGTCCCCTGCCATCTTCCTCAGACGAGGGCTGGGCTCCACAGTAAGTGAACAGCAGCCCCGAGGGGGTGTCCGGGTGGTTAGGCTGTGCACTGAGACAGATGAGGGGATGACGGTGCACCTGTGGGCGAGGGTCTTCAGGGACAGTTAGGGACCTCGGGGAGTCCTGCGCCTCAGGAAGCAGCTGAAAGACGCTGATCGTGTGTGTTTGGGGTGCTTGAAGCCACGTTTGCATGGCCAGCACCTCGGATCGGAGGTGTCTGGAGCGGCTGGCCTGCTCTTTCCAGACTGGATGGCAGGCTTGTTCTCTGGCTGGGGCCGCCGCTGGTGTGAGGTCCCCGGGGCCAGGCCCCCGGCTCAGAGCAAGCACGGGGCCGGGGGCAGGAGAAATGAATTTGGTAGGAAATCCAGAAGGGGAGGCCGCCTTTCCCGGGGCCGTGGGCAGGGGTGCGGCCCCCGGGCCCTGGCACATGTGTCCCGGGGCCGTGGGCGGGGTGTGGGCGCTCGGACATGCTGTGTGCCCACAGGTGTGGCAGTGTGGTGGCAGCATGGAGGTGCTCCCCTGCTCCCGCGTGGCCCACATCGAGCGCACCAAGAAGCCCTACAACAACGACATCGACTACTACGCCAAGCGCAACGCCCTGCGGGCGGCCGAGGTGTGGATGGACGGCTTCAAGTCCCACGTGTACATGGCCTGGAACATCCCCATGACCGTAAGCCAGGGTGCAGCAGGGAGGGCGGGGAAGACGGGGAGCCTCCCGGAATGCCGGCCCGGGGCTCTCGGGTCGAGGTTTTCCTGGTAAAAGTAGTGCCAGCAGCTGCGAGCGAGGCTTAGCTCCTCCCCGGCCTCGCCATGCCTTGTGGGGTCACCACCCAGTTCCCGTGGCCCGCGCGGGGACGCACAGACGCTGGTCCAGCTGCAGCCCCGGCTCACCGCCCAGCTGGCACCTCAGGTGCTGTTTGCTCATGCCTTCCTGTGACCAGATATGTGTGGTATAGAGTCTGCCTTATAGCTTTTTTTCTTTTAAGTTTATTTTTGAGAGAGAGAGAGAGAGAGAGAGAAGAGAGAGGGGGGAGGGGCAGAGATAGAGGGAGACACAGAATCTGAAGCAGCTCCAGGCTCTGAGCTGTCAGCACAGAGCCCGACGCGGGGCTCGAACCCACAAACTGTGAGATCACGACCTGAGCCGCAGTTGGGTGCTTAACTGACTGAGCCCCCAGGCCCCCCTCCATTTTAGCATTTTTAAACCGTGCAATTCTGAGGCCTTGGGCACACCCACAGTGCTGCACAGCCTTTGACTTACCTAGTTCCAAAAACGTCACCCCAAAAAGAATAGCTGAACCCAGTAAGCAGCTAACCCCCATCTGCCCGTCCCCCAGACCTCAGCACCCGGCTGCCTGCTCGGTCCCTGGATTTGCCTGTTCTGGACGCTTCCTCTAAGTGGAGCCTCTCCTGCTGTGTCTGGCTCCTTGCAATGAGCCTCGTCTCCTCAAGCTCTATCCACACATGGCAGGTGGCAGGGCCTTGCTGCTGCTTCCTCTCTGTGGCCGGATCACGTTCCACATGTGGATGGACCACGGCGGTTTATCCGTCCTTCCATCCGCGGGTACCTGGGTTGCTTCCTGTCTCTTGTTCTGGTCCATGCAGTTTCGACCACATCCAGTTAGGGGTTGCTGTTGGTTTTTCACTTTGTGCTCAACCAAATCCCATAAATAGCCTGTATTCTGGCTTCTCTTGAAAACCCAGAAGACCCAGCTCCCACGGCCTGTGTGACGGTAATGATGGTGGGTGCCGAGCAGGGGTGGCTCCGTAACGTGGGGTGACATTCAGGCCGCTAGTCCCGGTGCGCCGGCCGTAGAACCAGCCCTCACTCACGTGTGGCTTCCCCGGCCACGGGAGGGTACGAGGCTGCAGGCCCTGGGGACACCCATCCTGGACACGCTTACGTGACCCACTGTAAGTGCGGAGGTCACGTCATGAGCGTGCACACATGTGTAAACCCTCATTTTCCACCAAGGGACCCGACTCAGGAAACACCCCATTACTCCTCGAAAGGGAACCGGGGCGTGGTCACCGTGGGGCCTCAGGCCGCGTGCGTGCAGAGTCCGGGGCGCTGAGCCGGGGCCCGCAGACACCCTCCCACATCTCACTGTAGCCCTGCGCTCCCCCCGCCCTCGTGTGAAGGCTGTGAGGGGCTTCTCTGTGGCCACAGCCTCCACGTGGAGGAGGGAAGAGGGGCTCTCCCCGGCGCAGCGCCTCCCCGCCCGGCGTGGCTGGTGTGGGAGCCGTGGGCACCCCGGCCTGGGGCAGGCGCTTGCTCAAACACACTCACAGAGGCTTGGTGCCTGTCACGTGTCGGGGCCCCAAGCCAGATGTGAGGCTCAGCCTGTGGCTTCGTACAGAAAGAATACAGATTCCGGGGAGCTGGACAGACACAAACCTCGCCCAGCAACACCATGTGACAGTACGCACTGCGTGTCACCAGCCAGGGACACCCACCCAAGCCTGTCGTCCATGCACGAGCCAGCCTCGCCATGGCTGACCGTAGTCTGTAGGTCACACTGATTCCCCACCACGGCTCAAAGCCCCCTGAGGTCACCCTGCAGCATAGACTGCCTGGCACTGCCCAGACCCCAGGTAAACGCCCCCATAATCACGCAGGATATTCTAAGGACGTAGAGGTCATCTCTGGGGGGGAGGGGGCAGGGCAAGCCTTTTCTTTGGAGTGCGCAGGTGTGGACGAGCCAGCACACAGCCCGTGGCTGTCCGCCCAGACCCTTCCCGTCAGGCCCTGGGAGGGCAGGAGGCCCAGCTGGTCCAGCCCTGAGGGTCGGGCTGCCCCCAGGTCCCGGGGCTCCCCCGTCACAGGCCGGGACGGGCAGCTCCAGCTCGCGCCTTGCCTCCCGCCTCGCAGAACCCAGGGGTGGACTTCGGGGACGTGTCAGAGCGGCGGGCGCTGCGCCAGAGGCTGAAATGCCGCAGCTTCAAGTGGTACCTGGAGAACGTGTACCCAGAGATGCGGACGTACAACGACACCCTCACGTACGGAGAGGTACCACCCACCCTCGCCCGGACACGCATGCGCGAGTGCACAGAGCGCGTGAGAGCCCGACTCACGCAGGTGCCCAGCACACACGAGTAAGCACAAGAACACGTGCACGCATTCGCACGCACAAACGTGGATCCCCGAGTGCGTTACACGTGTGCGTAAGTGCACAAATATAAAAGCATACGTTGGCACGCAGTTTTGCTCGTGTGCACACAGATAACACCTTCACTTGTGAGCACAGACCCGAAGGCGCCTGCCTGTGCTCACGGTCATGGACATGTACTCGTCAAGACAAAATGTCAGGTGAACGGGTGCCCCCAACCGTGGACATGGACCTGCTGACGCATTTGCGTACACGTAGTCAGGCTCGTGTGCAAACAGAGCACACACAGGCGCAGGCATCAGCAGCACGAGCCCCGCACGTCTGCACCCGCCCCCCACCCGCACGACCGCACACACAGCTCTCCTTAGAGCTGGCCAGAGGGTGCTGCATCCCCATGCTGTCACCCTGGTCTGCACTGGCGGGGACGGCAGCTCCCTTCACTCGGGGCTCCTGATGTTCCAGGGGGACCCAGGCCCCACGTTGGGGAAAGCCGTGCACTCTGGCCCTGGGCTCGCGCTCAGTGTGAGGCAAGGAGTGGGGGCGCAGGGGTGGGCAGTGCGGGCAGCTCACGTTTCCCTGCAGAGTGGGCTTCTCTGCCCCTGAGGGGGAGGGGGCAGCCTGGCCTTGGCTTTTGGGACCCGCCTCCCAACAATGGGGTTTCTCCTTTGGTTTCTCTTGCAGGTGAGAAACAGCAAAGCCAGTGGCTACTGCCTGGACCAGGGAGCAGAAGACGACGACCACGCGATCCTGTACCCCTGCCACGGGATGTCCTCCCAGGTACGGGCTGCACCCCCACGGCAGGGGGGAGGGGAGGGGTACAGCAGGGGCGGGGTCGCAGCAGGCTGTGGGTCCAGGCTCTCGGCTGCTCGGAGACCCTCAGGGAACCCCCTGCCCCAGGTAAACTAAGACCAGGGCTTTTGGAGTCAAACAGGCCTTGGACAAATCATGTCACATCCCTTGCCTCAGTTTTCCCGTCCAGCAGATGGGACAATAAAGGTGCTTAACCCGTCAGGGCTGTTGTGTCAACCAAAGTGGATCGTGTGGGAAGGTGTGTGCGGCAGTGTGGACAGAACCTGGGAGGTGTTGAGTTACCACTGGTTCTTACTGGCTGAGCTCCTCCCAAGTGATCTTCCGTCCGGGCTCAGCTCAGACTCACCCGGGGGGGACCTCACCAACGTGCACGCCGATGCCCGGACCCCAGGCCAGCGGCACCAGGCGGCTCGGGGCGGGTCCGGTGATGCCATCTGGCCCCAAGCAGATCCGCTGCTGGTACAGGCAGCGCTTCTGTTTACCGGAAGTTGGTGCTTTCCAGCCAAACCCCAGACTGCTTTCCCCGGACGTCCCCCCGCTCCCGAGTCGGAGCCGTGCTCTTGGCTCTCAGACGTCCGTCCGGGGGAAGCCCGCGGTGACCCGTGCCGGCCCAGGCAGCTGGAATTCGCCGTGTCCGTGAGGCCGCCCGGCGGTTTGTGGCAGGAGAGAGAGGCGAGGCTGTGACGCCGGAGCGGAGAGCATGGTGCCCCCGCCTCCTCCCGCAGCCTCGTGCCGGGCCCCCCGCTGGCCTCTCCCGGTGCTTCCGCGCGGCAGCTCGGGTCCAGAGAAGACAGTCCCCCGCTGGGAGGCAGACGTGGCCTCCGGGAGGGACTCCGGTCCCTGGGCCTGTTCTCTGGCTGGCACCCCACGTGAGGGGCCACACCCTGCTGGGCACCTCTGAACACGCCTGACGGGGAGCCACAGGAGGGCATCGGTGGACCTAAGTTTCCCCCGATGCGTCCTGCGGCGTGGCCCCCCTCACGCGGCTTGCGTGGCCCCGGCCAGGTCCTCGGCCGGCTGCAGGAGCCACTTCTGAGCCCACGCTCACCCGGCGGGCAGGCTGCGCTGGCCGTCAGCTCAGGGGCCCACGGGGCCTCCGCCCGCGGCCTCCCCAGGCTGCCGGTTCAGAGGCAAGCGCCCCAGGATAATGGGGGTGTCACGACCGTCTACACCCAGCCTCAGAAGTCAGACAGCAGCACGTCCGTGATGGCTGCTCACTCCCCAGAAAGATCCAGGGGAGACTGTGGGCCCCCACCCTTCACAGGAGGGTCAGAGTCACCGCTGCGGAGGGTGCAGGCGGGAAGCACCAGTGCAGCTGTGTTCCGTGAGATTGTGCCGGAAAGCACAGCCTTCAGTGGGGAGCCACCGTTTCATTCAGGCAGTGCGTGTGCGTGTGTGCGTATGTGTGTGCACATGCATTTCTATACACATGTATGCGCATCTGTGTACATGTGTGCATTTGTGCGTGTGCACACGTGTGTGTACTATGCACGCTGCACATGTGCATTTGTGCATGCGTGTGTATTGTGTCCACAAGTGCACTGTGCATGTGTGCATGCATGCGTGTGTGTGTGTGCACGCACTTGTGCACGAGAGAAAAAGAAGGAGGAACAGGACGGGCAGGGAGAGGGGAGAGAGATACAGTTACACCAGTTGGTCAGGCTGTTGAGTGCGAGCCACTTTATAAGCACTTTTGTATGGAGTCCACTGGATCCTTATGGCAGGTGCTGGCTGACCTCCTGTTTACAGATGGGGACACCGAGGCACAGAGAGGTGACGGGACCTGCCCGAGGCCACACAGCTGGGGAATGGCAGGGACCTACAGAACTGGTTTCTGTCGTGAGGGTTTGGTTGTTACTTAGTGGTGTGTTACAAGCAAGGAGGACCGAGTCTTACGTGAACTTGGGGCTGCTCTCCGCGCAGAAATGAACGCGCTGGGGCAGATGACGCGCCCCGAGGGCACGTGGGAAACTCCCTCCTCTGAGCGAGAGAAGGGGCCCCGGGAGCCGAGGCCTGAGCGCAGTTCTGGAGAGGGGTCCGGGGTGCGGTGGGGGGAGCAGGGCCATCGGGCTGGCCGTGCACACCAGCCCCCGGCCCCCCGCAGCTGGTGCGGTACAGCGCCGAGGGACTGCTGCAGCTCGGCCCCCTGGGCTCCACCGCCTTCCTGCCCGACTCCAAGTGCCTGGTGGACGACGGCAGGGGCCGCGCGCCCGCCCTGAAGAAGTGTGAGGACGTGGCCCGGCCGGCGCAGCGGCTGTGGGACTTCACCCAGGTGAGCAGCGCTGCTGAGCGCCCCCCCGCCCCCCCGGGGCCCACATGGGGAGGAGCCACGAGTGGGCAGAGGGGCCCTGGGTCTGGTCTCAGCACCGTGGCTGCCCGAACCTCCGCCGCCTCCGGCCTCCCAGGGGGTGCGGGCTGTGACCCCCACCAGGAAGCGCTCCCCGCAGCTGCTGGCCAAGCGGGGCCAGGCAGGACTCCTGCCGAAATCAGCCCCTGCTGGGCCCCTGCCTACGATTTCCAGCCCAGAATTTTGGGCTGACGAGTCAGAGGAGGCCTCCCCGCCTGGTGGGAGCAGCCAGGACCCCCGCCCCCGGCCCCTGGGGACCCCCGCCCCCGGCCCCTCCCCGACAGCGGCCACTGGCCTGGATGCTGCGGGGCTCAGAACAACACCCAGGCCTGCAGGGAAGGGGCAGAAGGGGGCCTCCCAGCCCCGGCGGCTCTGGGCCGAATCCGGCTCACACTTCCTGCGTGTTGCCCTCTCCGCAGCCCCCCTGCCCTCTGTCCTCCCTGACTCCCCCTGCTTCTCCGAGCCCCCACCTCCCTCCAGCCCTGCTGAGTGCCTCGCGCCTGAGCGGCCCCTCCCCCCTCCCCCTAAAAGCTGTTTGTGCCCTAAATCCCTGCAGTCTCCCCTGGCAGCTGAGTGTTTATACTCTGTGCCCTGCAGGGCGGTGCTCCCGCGGGGCCTCAGGGGGTCCCTCCCTGCCTCCACATGACGTTCTAGTCACCATCTTCACATCTGCTCAGACCCCTAGGTCACAGCGCCAGGTCCTGGGGGTGAGGGTGGTGTGTTTCTCTAGAACTCTCTGCCCTTGGCACTCGGGCATCAGGCGGCCCTAGGGCGCTCTGCCACCGCGGTCTCTGGGCCCGGGAGCCACGCCCAGCCCCCCTGCCCCCAGCTCTCCCCCCCAGCCCCACCAGGGGCAGCAGACGTCTTGCAGGCACATCCCTGGTCTGTGCCCCCTTCCCCCCTCCTCCCCTCCCCCTCCTCCCCTCCCCCTCCTCCCCTCCCCCTTCCCTCTGCCTCCCTTCCCCCCTTCCCCACCCGCCCCCTGCCACTGCTCCCACCACACACACCGTGACAGATCAACACTTCGGGTGGCCCTGCCCTGGGCCTTGGGGGCTGGGGGCTTCCAGTCACCGGAGAGGCTGTAGGGGTGACTGTCCCGGCTTGAGGCGGGGCCAGCAAGGGTGGAGGTCCCCAGGAGGCCGGGTTGGGGTTGGGACGGTGAGAAGGAGCTGTTTGGAAAAGAAAGGAAACCATACAGGCTACAATCTTAAGGTCCCCAGGTTGGGCCAGGTCCTTGATGTCTGGGACACCAGACAGCCTGCGTGGGTGACCGATGGGCAAATCAGATGTGCCAGGTGGTGGGGACGCCCCTGGGGAGCCCCCGTCTCAGGGCCCTGTCTCCATGGTGTCGGTCGCTCCTTGGAGCAAGGCAGCCGGGTGACACAGTGAGAGGGTGAGGGTGCCTGGGGACGGAGGATGGGAGGGGACAGAGGGGTGGGAGTGGGGGGGACAGAGGGGTGGGAGTGGGGGGGACAGAGGGGTGGGAAACAGGCCCCAGAGACTTGGGTGGCCATGCAGTGACCTGCACGGGGCCTGTCAGGCCCCATCCGAGAAGCTGTCAGGAAGGGACCCCCGGATGTCCGCTGATCCCGCCCCCTTCCCGGCAGAGCGGCCCCATCGTGAGCCGAGACACGGGCAGGTGCCTGGAGGTGGAAATGTCCAAAGACGCCAGCTTCGGGCTGCGGCTGGTGGTGCAGAGGTGCTCAGGGCAGAAGTGGACCATCAGGAACCGAATCAAGCACGGGCGACACTGACCCCAGCCCCGCCCTGCGCCCTCCCCGGTGCGGACGCGGGGGCCGGGGGGGGGGGGGCGCTGGAACCCAGGGGGCCCGGCCGTGCCCCCCGCCACCCCCAGCCGGCCTCGCCTCGGCGCCCGCAGGCCACGTCCCCTGTGCGCCCCGGAGGCAGGTGCCAGGGAGCGGCCACCCCACCAGGAGCACAGACCCCGAAGCCAAGCCCACCTCCGAATCACGTGCCTTTTCTGCGGTATTCCTGTCCAGGCCGCCGGGCCGGCCACCTCTTCTGCATGTGCTGAAGCCCCTGACCTTCCCCCCTGGCGGAAATAGCGCCGTGAGCTCCGCGGGTGGCCCGAGCCGCCGTCCCCGCCGGGCAGAACCCTGGCCCTCTCTGTCCTCTGGTCACGTAAGGCAGAGCCCCCTCCGAGGCCGGGCCGGGGACACGGGGGACCGGCTGCAGAGGTCCCAGCGATGCCCAGACAGTGCTGGCGAGGAGGCCGGCGTGCTGCTCCGACCCAGCAGAGCGGGTCCGACAGGACAGAGCTGGCCTTGTCCTCCGGAGTCCTAGCGGCGGGGTCGTCCGGGGTCGGGACCCCTGTTCGCGCATCTCGCCCGGGGCCAGGCGCTTCCCCTGTTGCTCTAAGGCGGGGGTCAGCGAACGATGACCTACAGCTCCGCGCCTGTTTTTATAAATAAAGTTTTATTGGCACACAGCCACACCCACCTGCCTCTACATTGTCCGCTGCAGCCTTCTCGCTGGAGGGCTGCCGCTGAGGAGCACGCGCCGCAGAGCTGTCCCCGGGGCTCCGAGGGGCCGTCTCTGGGCAGGACTGTCACAGGGCCCCCCAGAGGGAAGCTGGACACCGTCCTGCCCATCCCTGCCCCCAGCAGACCCAGTGCCCGCTGCACCCAACAGCAGGTGCACCCACACTAGCTGCTCCCCGATACCACCAGTACCCCGCGCTAGCTGCACCCTAACTCTGGGCAGAAGGCCTCGGAGTCCAGCAGTGGGAACAGCTACCAGACGCCAAGCTCCGCAAACGAACCGCATGGCCCTCCCACCGGGGTCTCCCGGTGCTTGGGGGTCTCCTGGTGCTTAGGCGTCTCCGAGGGGCAGAAACCGTCGGGACGTCCAAGCTTCTCCCGTTCCCGTAGAGCAGCTGGAGCAGGTCCTGGACCCCAGGGCTTCACGCTGCCGACGGGCCGGGACCAGGCGGCCAGCCTTGCAGGGAGCCCGGCCGCCCCCACAGTGTCTTTCTGAAGCAGAAAGCGGTTCTGCAAGTGCTGGAGGGGCGGGGGGGATCTCGGAGCCCCGAGACCACAGCGGGCCTCCGCCTCTCAGACTCGAGTCTCTGGGGAAGGTGGGGGCTCTGACCTGCCCCCTGCACGCCCCCCAGCCCCACCCTCCGCAGAGAATTCTTCCAGCTCCAACCCGGGTCCCAGAAAGCTCTCCCCCTGTTTCAGGTCTTGCTCAAATTTTAAGACCATAATGGAGGCAAAAAGCCGGCCATGAGTGAGACCTCAAAAGTCAGTCTCTAGCCAAAGACCTGAGTACACACAGTCCAGAACTTTCCCAAGTGAAGGTGAGATGGTAGCAGCCCTTGGCGGGCAAAGTGGATTAATTGCCTGGGGCTTAAAATAGAAAGAATCACAGCCGAAACTTAGAGGACTCGCCGTGTCACATACAGTCCATTAGGCAAACTGACAGCCACG